TGCCCATTCCACGTATGAGTCCCCAGAGGTCTTGACAGTGTCTCGGAACCTCCTCCGGTACGCCTCAGGGGTAACGGCATACCGGGAGAGTAAAGCTTCCCTGACGGCCACATAATCCCCAATCTCCTCATCAGGAATGGCCCGAAAAGCCTCGCTGGCCCGGCCTGATAACTTGCCGGACAATATAGTAACCCAGTCTTCCAGGGGTACCTTGTGCAGGGCACATTGCCGCTCAAAATCAGCAAGGTACCCATCAATCTCTCCTTCTGTTTCACTGAAGGCTTTAAACGCAGTTAATGGTACCTTTTTCCTATCTTCCGGGTTTGCTGTGACTGGGGCTGCTGCAGCACCGCTTTGGCGAAGCAGGTTGGCCTCCACAGCTGCCATGACCCGGTCAATGGTCTCTGTAGTCGGGTTGGGACCATAATGTGCCAGCCTGATTCTTACCGCCCAGTCAAAGCTTGCCTCCTCGGGGGTTCTGTCAGCTGCACTGGGTCCATTGGTTCCCTCTGCCGCTGGTACTCCATCCATTTCCAGCAATAACGCAATAATATCCCTCTTCCTGAGGTTACTGGCTTGTCCCCCTCTTTGCTCCAATAAATCCTTTAGGGTAGCCCTCCTCAGGTTTTGGTATTGTAATTCCATTTAGTCCTGGTTGTAGTGGTCTCTTTGGGCGTTGAGGATCATCCCACCGCTGCCACCAGTTGTTACGGTACCTCCAGTAATAAAGGCACAAACCGCCGTTTAGTGAATGCTCCCCGTTCGCAATAATGTAGGCTGGTAGCGTGTATAGTAAAACCATGCGAACCGCCAGCTAGGGAACACTCCAAAGTCCCGAACGGTGCCTGTACGGCTATTTCCCTTCGCGAGCTCCAAATCCACGAACTGCCAATATTAGCCGAACGCTAATACCTCCCAAACGGCAAAGAATTCCAATAAGCAGTCTCTAAGCGCCGGTAATAAAATCCCCCCAATAACGAGACCAAGCTCCGCTTTGAGGGTAAAACATGAACTGATTTACTGTGGGCTACCTGCCCGGTATTTATGCAGGTCTCCCACTTGGTGGACACTCCCCTAGGGGACCAAATGGGAGACTGAAAGTACAGAGGGACATGGGGACATTTTGGACATACATCCCCACAACATTCCCAGCATGCAGTACAGTTCCCTCCCCTCTGCTCGGGGGATAATTGGGAAGTAACTCAATTATCTCCCCGGGCAGAGGCAATCGCCATTTTAAACACAAGTCACAAAAACACATGAAAATCCATAACTCCATAACTGCCGAACATACTACATTCGTATCACGTATCCCCAGATAGCCTGGATCTGAGTGCACATTATTGGAGAATAGCGCTCAGATCCCATTCGCACAGTTCAATCGCCATGGAGTCAAAGTCTCTTTCAGTTCTTCGGTATGCGATTGACTCCATGGGACGCCTATCTGGGTTAAGTCCATTCGTGTGGTTGAATCTCCCGAATGGCTGGCATTCGTATACTTTTGTCGATTGAGAAGGGGAGGTCGACGGCTTCAGCGGTGTTCGGCTGAAAAAGTGTCCGTTTTCAGATCCATGAAATAATCATCGAACACCGCTGGTCGTTCGCATGGACAAGATGGCCGCCTCCTCGTGGTCGACATACGAACGACGACCACCCGGCATTCGGTTTTAATTGAGAAGGGTCTGTGGTTAACCGCAACGTTCTAATTGGGATCAATAGGTTAACCAGCAGCACACTTCTCTTCTGGGTGGCCGTCCGTTCGGTAGTTTCGTTCGACAAAACCGACATTCCCTTAAATAAAGCATACGAATGGGGAAATTCATGTAACCGGCAAAACAGGCGAACAAAGCAGTTATAATCCAGACAGATGGGTCTGTCACACTCCGCCTGTCCGAGTTTTTGATTAACATTCCCACCTCTCAAATTCATTTTGACCTTCTGAATACCTATACAATTTAATAGGGACAAATCTGCATTCTGATGGTCTATAAAGTGCAGTGAAACTTGATGTGCAAACATTCTGTTACTAACATCAGTTAAAATCATTTTAAGATTAGGCACTCTATGGACATTCTTTGGATCTTTAGCCAGTGATATTATATTTCGAACTCTAATATTTTGACCGCCTGAAAATAAAAAATATTCTCACTATAGCCTCTATCTTTAAAATCTTGTATTTATTTTCGGCTTTGGTTTATAAAAACATTATTGTATGTGTAATTCCTCTTAATTCTAACTAACAGGTTTTTAGGTACATTGTTGAGCCAGGGACTATAGTGACAACTTGTTGTTTTCAATATAACTATTTACATCTACAACAAGAGTTTTTGTTTTAATATCCCTTTCCTCAATATAAATAGTAAGGTCTAAAAAATTAACTTCTTGTTGGCTGTACATAAAAGTTAATTGAATACCCCCGTCATTCGAATTAATAAAATCTATAAAAAAGTATTTTCCATCCCCCATCCTAAATTAAAAATAAATCATCAATTTATCTGTTATAAAGCACCAGGCTTATTCCCCACTCCTCGCAAAAATTCATATCTTGAGATTCCCAGTGTGCCATGAACAAATTGGTTAAACTTAGGGGCGAACCTGATTTCCATCACTGCACCACACTTTTGAAGGTAAAATTTACCCTGGAACCAAAAATAATTGTTCTGTAGAATCAACCTTATTGATTCCAACCTAAACTGAAATCGATGAGCATGTTCCTCTGATTTGTTATTTTGAGCTTCACCCTTGATGCCACAATAAAAAGGCGATTGATAAAAAAAAAAAGATGATTAGTGGACATTCACTAAATATTGATTTATTCACAAATCAAGTAAGAAGTGAGTAATAGAGTGGAAAATAAATATTTTTACTCCTTTTCTTTTTTTCCTCTATTGGTTACTTATTTTTGCTTAAAAACTTAACCATACAAAATATAATAAAACAAAGTTTAGTTTCAGAATCAAAACACAAGACGTTAAAGTAAAAAGGAAACTATGTGTTTTGCCCTCCAAGACTTAGATAAGTGGGTTCTCTGGCCATTAAAGACGCAAGAAATTGTAACTACTGTTCTCTGAGGAAGTTCCTTTCAGGCAAGGAATGCATAAGCATGTCCTTCCTTGTGCCCCTCTCTGTGCACTGTGATGCATACTGCTTGCAATAGAGAAAATGTATGGTAAAAGCTTGGATATGTGAGACTAGGGTATCAATCAATACCTGGGGCTCCTGTCTGTCTGCTGGGGCCATTTATTTATTACTGGTATTTATAAAGCACCAACAGATTTCGCAGCCCTGTACAATTAGTGGAGAACGTACAATATACACAGACGAATTCAAGAGGTTGAGAGAACCTTGCCCGTAAGCTGATAACTAGACATTGGAGCTCTTTTATACAAAGTGCTTAGCTAGATAGCCCGTGAGCTTACAATCTATAGGATACAATGGGGATTTGAGACAAGAGGTAGCAGGGGAAATTTGTAGGTGATGGCTAAAAGAGTTAACAGAGAGA